AAACTACAAGGCAATTCAATTTCCGAAAATTTCAGAATGACACCCTGTTGTGTGTTTCGAAAACCTATTTTCATAAAAGAGTATTTCCTGGTGAACAATAGAAATATCAAGATCGAAAGATTTTTACATTGGTTTGAGAGGCGATACTAGAATGAGTTAGGTCACCAGGTACAAGTTGAAGTCTATGATTGAAGTAGGTACGTTCCTGTTGAAAATGAAGTTGTCATAGGAATTTGTACAGTCAGATACAAATGAATGAAATGTCGCACATGAGCGAATTTTCAAAAATGTACCTTTCTTGCTTGAAAATATTCAGAGACTCATTTCCTCAATGGAAAAAATTAGAAAACTACACTGAAAAAAAAGTAAGGACCATTCTAAACCATAAGAAGTGCGTTGGTGAGCGCCCTCTAATGGCAACATTGAAAATGTGTCCGTATTCGGATTTCGCATTTCAAAAAACCTTTGGCTACCAATTGTTAAAGAGATACGTTCAAAAATATTCATACATTCTGAAAAATTCGTTGTCATAGGAATTTGTACAGTCAGACACTACACTGTTTTACCACTAACCAAACCGATTTTTTTATTTTTTTAACGCCTCGACACGTGTTTCGCTAACTATGTTAGCATCTTCAGGAGAAGATTAAAACTCAGTTTTAATCTTCTCCTGAAGATGCTAACATAGTTAGCGAAACACGTGTCGAGGCGTTAAAAAAAGTAAAAAATCGGTTTGGTTAGTGGTAAAACAGTGTAGTGTATTATCGTGCCAAAGGTTCCAGTCTTCGATATATGTACAGTCAGATACAAATAAATGAAATGTCGCACATGAGCGAAGTAAGTGTGCTTTTAGTCACTCCTGCAATAATTGCGTTAACACTATCCAACCGCGACATGATCTTTGCATTTGAGAGTACATATACATGAAAAAATGACCCTCCCTATTGAACTTGTTAACGTTTATATTCGATGCAAGCTTTTTTGTTTGAACTGAAAAATGCTCTGATGTTACAAGCATTAATTAAAATTGCCCAGGGCTCAAATCACTGATGAACATCAATCTCGTTTTCCCTTTGATATCACTGATTTATTCTAATGAATATCGTTACCAGGAAGAACGAACAGTATTTATAGCATATTATTACACTGGACCATCGATCCTACATGGACCTCAGATACAGTGTCTTTCAAAAGTATCGGAACGGTCTGATATTTCAGGAACGGCTCGAGAAAAATTCACGAAATTTTTTACAGGGTGATAATCGATTCAATGGTGGCATCGGCAATGTTGCCAAGTTTACAGTATTTCAGATATTAGGAGTAACTTTATTTTTTCAAATGGAATACCCCATTTATTTTTATTGCATTTAATTAAGCGCCTCCTAATTACTAGAGTCCCTGAATATCAGATTCGTAATTGACGTGATTTTCGAAATATGACAACATAGCATTTTCGTTAAAAAGTTCTGGAACGATCCCATATTTCAGAAACGGCTTAGAGAAAATTTATGAAAACTTCGACAGGATGGTTGTTGATGATGCCCGATTCAATGGTGATATCGGCAATGTTGCCAAATCAACAGTTTTTCAGATATTTAGGGTAACTCAATTTTTTCAAATGGAATACCCTGTTTATTTCCATTGCAATACATTCAGCGACGCCTCATTACTTATGTCTCCAAATATCAGGTTTAAAATTGAAGTGATTTTCGAAATATGACAACATGGCATTTTCGTTCAAAAGTCTGGGAACCTTCCGATTTGACACCATTAGACTATTTTTTTTGGGGACATTTGAAAAATCGGGTTCTTGTGGAGCAACCAGCAAATTTAGAAACCTTAAAAAATAAAATATGTCATCAGGCAGCTCTTTTAATTACGCCTCAAATGCTAACTGATACTTTGAGGGAATTTTATGACCGCTTGGGCTATTGTTTAGCAAATGATGGCAAACATTTTGAGCACTTGGTCAGATAGTTTTCAGTTTCTGTTATTTGATTCAATACTCTATTGGAAAAGAATTCAATTATTGAAAAGTTGTTTTAGCAAAAACCATTTTGTATAACATCTCATGATATTTTCTCGAGCCCTTATGAAAATATTGGACCGTTTGCAGACATTTCAACGGAGCATGTTCTCATATTTAAAAAACCACACTTATTCAAAATTTGATATTTGAAGACATAAGTAATGAGGGGGAGCTGAATTGATTGCAACGAAAATAAATAGGGTTTTCCATTAGAAAAAATTTAATTACCCTCAATATCTGAAACACTATTGATTTAGCAACATTGCCGATATCATCATTGAATCGGGCATCATCAGAAACCATCTTGTATAAAATTTCATGAATTTTCCTTGAACCGTATTGATAATATTAGAAGGTTCCCAGACTTTTGAACGAAAATTCCATGTTGTCATATTTCGAAAACCACTTCAATTTAAAATCTGATATTTGGAGACATAAGTGATGAGGCGTCGCTGAATGTATTGCAATGAAAACAAATAGGGTATTCTATTTGAAAAAATTGAGTTACCCTAAATATCTGAAGAACTGTTGATTTGGCAACATTGCCGATATCACCATTGAATCGGGCATCATCAACAACCATCCTGTCGAAGTTTTCATGAATTTTCTCTGAGCCGTTTCTGAAATATGGGACCGTTCCAGAACTTTTTAACGAAAATGCTATGTTGTCATATTTCGAAAATCACGTCAATTACGAATCTGATATTCAGGGACTCAAGTAATCAGGAGGCGCTTAATTAATTGCAATAAAAATAAATGGGGTATTCCATTTGTAAAAATAAAGTTACTCCTAATATCTGAAAAACTGTAAACTTGGCAACATTGCCGATGCCACCATTGAATCGGGCATCATCGATTATCACCCTGTAGAAAATTTCGTGAATTTTTCTCAAGCCGTTCCTGAAATATGAGACCGTTCCGATACTTTTGAAAGACACTGTATATACAGCGTTACTTTACTAAGAAGGAGCCACTTTGTAGCAAAAGTGCAGAAGTATGTCCTGTGAGAACTTCCTCGCAAAATATTTCCCTACAAAGTTCTAGGCAAAAACTGTTTTTCTCATCATTACTTCTGAACTACTTGACCGATTTCAATCAAATTCCGCACAGAAACTAATGTAATACATCTCTATGTAATTATTGAACTAATTTCCAGAAATTCTCCAGGGGTGTAGACAATGAGGGTTGGCACACCCTCTCCTCCTCCCAATCTTTGGCGCCACTGGATATTATGCAAATTAGGTTGAAATCTGGATTACCTGTTCAATTTTGGAAAATATCCCTTGCAAGTTTGTGATTTATGACTCAGTTTTCGAGATATCTATTTGAATTTGAAAGGTTGCAAGCACGTCTGAAGCCAAGCGTGAAAGCTGCATCGCATTAAAAAAATTGAGTACGCCTTGACTGTGACCCTCAATCATTTCAATTTTGATATTTTTCAGAAGTTGTATTGGTTTTTGAAGGAGAATGCCCGTGTTTAGCAATGTTGAATATGCAGATATGCATTTTATTTATGGATTTTGTAATGGAATTGCAGCAGCTGCCAAGGAATACCAAAGACGGTATCCAGACCAAGGGCAACCAAGTGCTCGTGCTTGTGTGAATAACCATCGCCATTTTCGAGAATTTGTTTTCTCTTCATGCGTGGAATAACTATTTCTGTTCAGCTACAGAATGGGATCTGAATAGTATCTAATCTACTCAACATCAGAAAAATATTTTTGCAATTCTCTACTACTGAAAATGATGAAATATTACTATGCACTCTTCTATTTTGGGTCAAATATTTCGAAAACTGTTCATTTCAGCTCAGTTGGAGATGATGCATTTGTTTAACAAAATTGAACAATGAATTCGAGGAATTGGAAATAATCGAAATTTAATCAGTGGCGTAGAAAATATGGGAGGGAAAGTTGCCACAACTCCCTGTAGGGCACAACTGGATAAAATGTCCGGAATGGCTTCCTGGTCAAAAAATGACCCAATCAAAGATGAAACCATATACCGAAGTTGAATGCATTATATTCAATTTTTCTTGAGATATTGCGAAACAACTATTATTATTTCTCAACTTCAACTCACTGTATCTCGAGAACTGAACACTTGAAGGCCATATGTCCCTATCTTAGTGATTACCAAATCACGAATGCTATCACCTGTCAAGCGTTGTCGGTCGAATTTCGCCCTGTATAGATATCTCAAAAACCAAGCGATAAATGAAAATTTTGCAAACGTAGTTTTTTCTTTTGAATTGAACAGGGAATGTGAAATATAATTTTTTTGTGAAATATCCATTGGCGCCAAATATTGGGAAGGGAGAGGGGGTGCCGACGCCCATTGCCTACGCCAATAAAGACTTTATGGGAATGATTTCAATCACTATTTAGAAATGTATAACATTAGTCTGTGTGAGGAATTTGAGTGAAATCGGTCTAGTGATTCAGAAGTTATGATGAGAAAGCTAGTTTTTGTCTTAAACTTTGACACCCTGTATCTTTGTGAGGAAACAATTTTCAGGAAAGTTCTTACAGGAAAGTATACTCCATTTTTGTTACTCTATCACCTGTCAAAATAGATCACGTTTAACCTGGACCATCCTGTATACTCACCTGCGAAACTATCTAACGACATGATCTCCTATACGTTTGCGTTATAGAAATTATCGCGCAAAGCCTCTCATGAGTTTTTCAATCTGTTTTCTCCTGAATTGGTATGAGTAGCTACAGTTTTTTTGGCTGACAGAAGACACAGAGACACAGAGAGAGAGAGAAGTAATATATGATATCGCTCATTATAAAAGATATATTAAAAATTATGTTATCCATTGACTTATTTTTGGGATCATATATCATCTTGTTCGATATCAACCTCTCATATTCAAAGACAAGTTGACTCAGGCTTAATACACTCCACGATTAAGTGAATCGTCCAACACTCCACCATGTATAGCACGCATAATTTTCAATAATAGCTTCTTTATTCAGCATCAGGCACCGTCACCCACAAACGACACGTTTTCAATACCACGCCTAAAGAATACCAACGCTATAGCGCCACGCCTACCACCTCACACGTCGACCACCCGACTGCCACCGCTCACGACTCTCTCTCCAATTTATATCACCCCCACTTACCTTCCCACCTGTTGCAGATCCACGCACAGCCGCCGCGCAAACCCCGTCCGCGCATGAACTCGGCCATCTTCGTGTCTAGCGCCGGCCCCGGATTGGACCCGAAGGAGTTCTTCCGGCGGCACGGCAGCGTGTCGCGCCTGTGCAGAAAGGCCAGAAGCGTCGACAACATCTCGCTGGAGGAGAAATTCATGGAGGGGAAGCGCTTCGGCGTGCCGCAGCTGTCGGTGTCGGGACCCTCTCCTCCCGAAGACGACGAGCGGGAGGAGGAGGAAGAAGAGGAGGAGGGTGAGGGGAGGGGGGAGAGGGTTACGCTGATGCGGGAGGACGAATGATGGCGAGCGAAGTGGACGCAAGTCCGACTTGGTTCATTGTAGAGTGTTATGAGTTGGCTCGATGGATGGGTCACTGAGGTATCCTTGTCAATTATTCTCCGTGGTTCTATCATCTACAAATATTATGTAATATTTTTTATAAAAGCTAAATTTCAAGTGAAATATAAGTAGCTACACAGATGTTGATTCCTAAGTACCTGCGAAAAATCTGGGGGTGACTCCTTCTGATATGGTTATTTTCAATATGAAAATGAATACTCATGATCCACTCATGACCCACTTCTAAGCTCTCTGCCATGATTAATATTTTCTTACTGTCCTGTATTTCCTTCAGAACCTACTTTGAAGGGTGATATTTATCAGATGTATATTTTTTCTGTATCAATATAGGTGTAAAACTTTCAATTTCTTGAGAAACTTTCAGTGGAAATCTTATGAATATCACCCACAAAAAATGTACATACAATATTATCGAATCATGACCATATATAATGTTAATCTAATATTTTTTTGTTATCCAGTGATTCTATGAACATAAACTATTCTGATAATAAGTTGCCAAAGAAGTATTACTTCGAATTATTAGATCTGGATAATTTCTATATTTCTCTGACTTTCTGTATATGTACATATTATATTAGTCTCTCTTAGACTTTGCTATATGATATATTATCTTCATTTGTCTTCTTCTGTAAATAATATTATAATTCATTCTTTGAAGCAATATATGGGTGTCATAAACACTCAATTTGTACAGATATGTGGCAAATTGGTTGTCCGCACTAGAAAAATAAACTGATTAGGCATCCCTGTTTTTTTTTAGACCTTCCATGGTGCTTCACTTCATTTTTCAGTAGTAATTTCTTTCAAAATTTCTGAACGAATGAAACATGAGGCCATTGGAGTTGTGTCAAAAAATATTAAGCGGATTTTTATTCTAGCGAACAACCCATTCGGACAGCCTGTATAGTACCAATGTGTGAAATCCAGTGAATGCAAGCAGCTTTAATACTGAACATCTAGATATAGATATGTACTCATTATTTGCATTACCTTTGGTACCTAACTAAAAAATAGGTTTACCTTGAAAAAAAGTTTATGGAACTAGAGAATATATCGTCAAAATGAACAATTAGGGTAGAAATTATAAGCATAATGTGTATGAAATTGTTACTTATTCTTTCTCATATTTTGATACGAATGTGCATATTATTTGTGAAAGAATATGTGCAGTACAGGATTTTTCATCTATTGTTCTGATATTTATCGAAGAACTGGAAAATTGTTTATACCAGAAAGTCATGACTCATGACGAATCCGAAAAATATACAGGGTCAGTCAAACGTATGGAATCACTTTAGGTTGTCTTTTTGGAGATTACACCCATGTGAAAAATCCAACGATTCAACAAACTGAACATTCTGTGTATTTTTGCATTTTTTAGAGTAACGGTTCCACATATTGTTTGCTAACCATGTATTTCTGCTACAAGCAACCCAGTGTATGATGTGAAATGAAATCTTACTGATGCAGAAATAATGGCTTTCATAATTCGATCTGTCAACCCTGTACTACAAAATTTTTATGTTACTATGAAAGGAAAATTGAGTGTTTTTGAAAATGTTGCAAGTTTTTCACGATAAATGACATAATAACATTTTGACATAATTGGAAGGAGAAACTTCTGGTTTTTCCTGGAGATGACATCAACTTTCGATTTTCTCATTGTATATTATTACATTTTGGAATCAAAGTACCTAATCATCTGAACCCAATGATACTTTATATGGATCTTTCGGAATGGGACCAAACTGGAATTCGGATGATTCAAAAAGTAAACAAGCTTTGATCAGATTTGAACGAATGTTTGACTAATGCAAATGTTTTCAAAAACATGCACGATCAATTTGTATTTTACCTCTGTACATATACTAATACATTTTTAGAGTAAGTACATGAATATTTATTCGATAAAATGTCAACGATTTGGATATCAAATTGTTTCTACCTATTCAAAAACATGATAGTCACTAACTTGAAATTCTTACTATGGTCGATATGACAACTTGGCAACATTGGTGATATGGCAGCACTGCTATCGATCCACAATCAAGGATATTTGATATTTCATATTTCATATTTCACTTCTGTATCCGTATTGGCTCGTCACAGAACCTTGGTCACAGACAATGCAGCTCCTGTGCATTGCAGTTCATTTGTTGCAGTATTAGTACACTGAAATTAGGATTCTGATACGGAATAATTCTTACGAAAGGTTTTCGTGTCTTTTCGAGTGGACCAATTTCTTTTTATTTCTTGTATAGAATTATCACTAAAATACCTTTCAATGTCATATTTCTTTTGGATTTTTCGGTCGATATGAAGGTGCTAAAATCATCGATAATGCCTATAATATGATTCTGATTAAATACGGTCTGTTATTATATTACGAGTCTGTCGATGTACGGTTCTAGCATATTACGATTCTGTCAATTTACGGTTTTGATATCTGGTGATTCTTCAAATGTGCTGTTCTGAGTTTTTGCTATTCTGTCAATGTACGGATCTGACATTTTACTATTCTGTCGATGAACCGTTTGTTGTATCTCGGTTCTGACAAAGTACGGTCTGTCATTTTGCGATTCTGACGAATTACGGTCTGTGTTGTTATGGTTCCGACGGAATATCATTCTGAACAATTTTTATATTTTTTGGCCAACCCTGTATGCCAACCCTGTATGCTGACTTGCAACTATTTTGAGTGCACCTAAAATGTTCACAGAACATGCACCAACTTTCAGCACTATCTGTATTCTGGTTGTGCAATTCATTAAAAAGATTCCCATATTATGTTGCACACTTAAATGACCACACTGTATACCTGAAAATAGACTTAAACCGTTTACATGAATTTTTGGCGTTTTTTCGACTAATTTCAGTGGACTATATATAGGGATTGAGCTATCCACATACAAATGAAGTGAAATATTATTCTTGTATCACAAAAATCACCATCAGCTGTCAGCTGATTCTTCAAAATCAATCGTATTATCATAAGGATTTTGATTGATTCAATTAATATTGCTCAATACTGTTTCTACAGCAAACCCATATCGTTGATTGAATTCAATGATCAATATAACAAATGTCAAACTGTATTCACCTATATGTACTAAAATCCCCCCTACCAATTGATGAAAAAAAATATAGCCTTCATCTTTTTGAAGATTGCAAAGGAAAATTTGTGATGCGTCAGACATAAAATTGCATTTTTTGTAGCTGGTATATCAAAAGTGGACTAATATCGAATTATTTCTCTATATACCGTGTAGACCTATTCTTATCCGAACGATAATTAGGTATTACCATATATTACTATTATTATACTGTCAATTATAGTCATCCTTATAATATATGCATATTACAAGACTTATTCATGTTTCTTAACATGAATAAAAAACCAGGACAACAACTCTGTCAATGATATCCACTTTGACCAATTTTCAGCGATGGCAAATTCTACAAATAGTAGGTATATAGTGTTTTTTTTTGTGATTGATGATGATCTGACCCAAACTGTGATGCATCCTGTTCTATCAAAGGTACTGAATTTACTACTTCGTTGTATAGAGCAATTTTGTTATTCTGATCAGTATGTTGAGAAAATGTTAGTGTCGCGATCTCGAAATATCTTATCAAATACCTAGGTATTACCTATATTGATATTTCTTCCAAATCAGATATGACTCTGAATACAAAGACAAAGCTATTTCATTCATAATCACATCAGGAACAGAACAGAACAGTTGGAACTGAGAAATTCATTAAAAATGTTCTTGCGATAAAATGTTGTATACTTAGTGGTATCTATGATGCCTGAATCAAATAGGCCATCCAATTTTTCGGCCTGTCAATTGTTTTTCAAAATTTGACCCGTTCAACAAACAGAGTATACCATAAGAATCTAGATATGCCAGAATTTCCTGATATGAAGAGGTGAAGTGACAACTTTCATTTCATTTCAATATTGACATTCAATTATGATTCTGAAACTCCTAATATACCGATGTTGGTAATTGCCGATTTAGAATAGGATGTACCTATGAAGATTCGAATAAAGATTATTCAGAAATGGTATAGGCAGGTAAATAGGTTACCAAGTATTAAAATTGCATCCCACTTTGATTGATTCATAATAAAGGTTAGGTATCATCATCATTATCATTAGAAATGAAAGAAATTGTATGTAAATGTAGTTTCCTCAAACAAATGAACCAATGAAGCTTTAAATCTGTACCTATAGGAACAATAAGAACGATTTACCATATTATATTAACCTATATATATATAAACTTAGGTATCTTTGAATTTCATCATCTGATCATCTAACAGGTCCACCCATATATATATTTTGTACATATTTTTGTCAGTTGGAATCGACCGGTATCATGTTAGTCTCTTAGTCATCATGATCAATATTCCAAATTTGACACTTATGGTAAAAATCGCATTGTGTTTCATTGCTTTTTTTCAAATCCATAATTCAGATTTTCATTCGGTTGGATAATATTAGATACTAACACATCGTGGATACAACTTTCTTGCTCTATAAGTTTTTTGTATATTTTTCTTTCTCTTGGGGCACACGAAACAAAATCCCTATATTGTTCGAAGAACATCCAGTGGAAGAGGGGCAAAGGAGGTACAGGTTTTAGAATTTTTGTGCTTGGTTTCCAAGAAAAAATCGGAGAACTGATAATTATCTATTTTAATACAGAATAAGTGCACAAAAAAACGGCCAGTGCTGTAACTTCTGAAATCTAAATCATGTATGATTAGATATATTTGAATTTCATCATTTAACAGGCCCACCCATATATTTTTGTACATATTTTTGTCAGTTGGAATCGAAACTTCCCGAAACTTCCTGAGCATGGAAACTTCGAACGCGATAATATCTTCGTAATCGTACGAAATAACCTCGGAAATAACCCTATCACAACCGGTATCGTTATTGAATTCGGCATAAATAATCCCTAAACGATTTTGGAATAGAATACAGGGTGTCCAATTCAAAAATCAAAACCCAGCGAGCAGAAAAACATCTCAGAGATCTTATAAGTACGAGATTTCGAGACATTGAACCTCCACTGCGATGTTCTGTTCACACATGAATAGAACTATTATAGAACAGCCAATGTCCGCCGCAGGCGGCAATTATCGAGATGTCCTTGATATGTCACAAAACTACCTTCTTCTACCTAGTTCTTTTCAAAGCCTTTTCATGGACACAACAGAACATTTTCAACGCGTCTTGCGCACATTAAATCGCTGTAAAAAAAACCATTTTCGAGGTACTTTTCTGAAGCCTTTTGTCAAAATGAACTTTTGCATTAGGATTCCATTTCCCTTGAATGAAAAAATGCATTAAAAATAGATTGAACATAAAAATATTTTCTTGATATGAAATTACCTTCTTAATCGGTTTCTGAGTAGTGCTTACTACACACAGACATATAATTGGAAATAGGTTTCCCAAGTTTTGAAATGTTCTCCACAATGCATCTTGCATCTGATGGTCATTATTACAAACTAAATAAGTCTTCTAACACAATAAACTTTACCAAATTCCTTTCTGTTCGTTATAGCAGCGTGATGTAAGCGTGACACGCTGCAAACGCGAATGCCAATATTGCCAATTGCGAACAAGAAGAACAAAATCGAAAACAAATCAGAATTCATCGTATTGTGACGTAAGCATGAGACGTTGTGGTGGGGAAAACAAAGAAAGGGCACAAAAGAACAAAAACAATACTTTCAATATCCTTCTAAGACCTCTTTGGGAAGTGCATATCACGCCTCAAAAAAACATCCTCATGCCTACATTTCTAAAACATCCCAAAACATCCCAGGGATACCTCTCAGTAGGCAAACAAAGAAATGCCACAGAAGAACAAAAACAATACTTCAATATCCTTCAAAGACCTCTTTGGTCAGTGCATATTACGTTTCAAAATAACATCTTCATGCCAACATTTTCAAAACATCCCAAAACATCCCAGGGATTTTTGTACTCGCTGGGAAGTTGGGGTCATTTGCGGGGAAACCGGAAGTGATTAAACAAAAATTGTTTTGTCAATAAATGAGCAATTCGTTATACGACTTCTCTGTGCACTTCTCTGAATAAGTTTATATGAACTTTCCTTTCTATATATACAGAGAAGTGCACAAAAAACGGACAGGACTGTAAATTTTGAATTATTCGATATAGGGTTTTGAAAATTGGTGAGTAGCAAGTATACCAAATTGCTCATTAATTGATGAAACAATTTTTCTTCTATATATCACTTCCAGTTTCGCCGGAAACGACCCCAACTTTCGATTTTTGTTAGGGGCACCCTGTATTGTATTCCATAATCGGTTAGGGATTATCATGACGAATTCAACAATACCGGGTTTGTCAGGGTTATTTCAAGCGATTACAAAGATATTTGCGTTCGAAGTTTCCATATGCTCAATAGGTATGACTTTGTAATATCGAAACTTCTTTCTCTGTCACACTCATTGAACATATGGAAACTTAGAACGCGATCGAACCCGGTATCGATGAATTCGTTATGGCAATCCCTACCCGATTATGAAATACAATACGAAGTGATAGAACAAAAATTATTTCGTCAATTAATGAGCGATTAGGTATACTAGCTGCCAACCAATTTTCAAAACCCTATCTCGAATAATTCAAAAGTTACAGTCCTGGCCGCTTTTAATGCACTTCTCTGTATATCGCCTATCAAATTACCCAAATTGGTTTGCGAAATCTATGCCCGATTGGAATTTGAACATCCTGTATATATAAGGGTGGGCCTTTTCGATGGAAAAACTTGTACATAATATATATTATACTTCGGTGATTTCAAAAGAGAAAGAGTTTGCTTATCATACCTATAAGGCTTTTGAACTGGGTCCAAAATATTTCTCGCCGTAATCGGACATATCTCTGAATTTCGCAAAATGATATCATTCATGGAATAATCAGTAAATTTCTGAACATTGCGTATAAATAGGAGAAAAACGAGTGAAACGGTGAAACCCCGTTTTTCATATGCAAAAATTGTTTATTTCGTACTTATACTTATAATGTATATTGTTTCATAACTGTGATCGTAAGGCCTTTCTATTAACCGATTTGTTTTAAAATTAGTTCATGAAAGAGTTGATAAAATCTATGTAAACATCTTTGTATATATAATAAGTAATTTCATTACTTACATAATGAGTTTATCACTGAAGTTTCTTTGTGTACTGCAATAAATAAACAAATATAGGTATCCCTTAATTATGACCATTTTTTTTCTTTCCAATAATAGCACCAATACATAAAAACGTATATTGGATGAACCACAGATGTGAATACAGGCTATAGTCATGAAAACAGTTGATAATTGATTCTGCAGAATGAAACACCCTGTATTTTATGATCACTTTTCTCATAGCTTCCACGTGTCATATGGTGGAATATTCACATCGAATTACAGAATCGAATAGATATATATTAATTCTGCATACTTTCAAATTTTTTGTAGTACCAATAATAAACCATCAGTGTCGATAATTTTTGAAACTGAAAAAAGCTATAGTAGACTGAAACTTATTGAAAAAGGAAGAGAATATTGAATATAACATAAAATGAAAGAAAAGATAAATTACAGATGATCTGGATGGTCGCGAAGTGGGGGCGGGGGTGAGAATTTAAGGGTAAAAAATGGTTAATCTCCTAGTCCTATATGGAAAAAAGTTTGATGACGAAAGGTAATAAAAAGATTCATAACTCTTGTGGATACACTCCACTCACAAAACCTCAGAATGTATGTGAAAAATTCAAATAACCAAGTTTTTGGTTTTTTATTTTCATCTTTTACAGAAAAAATGTTTTCATGAAATTTTGTGGAAATTTACCTTTTTACATGTCCCAAACACACTGTGATTTTTTCAATTTAAATTCTTTTTTTTTACCTTATTTTGACTTAATATCGAAAAAGCACCCTATATAATTTTCAATCGCGTGAAAATATCAGCTTTTTCAAAAAACTCGATGAGATTCTGTTGGTTTTGGTCTAATGTATGAACGCTGGAAACTGAAAACATCTACTGTTCGCTGATTATTTGAGAATATGAAGAAAGGTATATGAAGCCAACACCATTTTACGGTCCTATCCCGAGAAGAGACTTTCGTTTCAGAAATTTTACTCGACCTCTCGAGAAGAGAGCAATGGTTTCGTCGATCTTCTAATAGATGGCTACATTGCACAATTATGACAAGGTTGATAGAACTGATGATTATTTTGTACAAATTATAATCAGTTCTACCAACCTTGGATTATGACCATCATCATTAGCTCTACCAACCTTGAATCATGACATCTGTCAGTTTTGAAATTGTCGCAGATTTTTCGAATTCAAAGTTGAACTACATATGTTCCGCGCTGTTCCGCGTACCTGAAATGCTTATAACATAGGCATCTTACGCTTACGCGTACCTAACAGGTACTAATAAGTGGCATAATGATATGCAGTATCCGAAAAATAAGAAGGAATATAATTATATCACTCCTGGTTCAGTCGATTTTCATTGTCATTGTCATGTCATTTTTCATTAATGTCATCAGTCATTATTGTCATTATTAAGTTCGTCGAACCTTGACTTGAAGGCTTCAAACAAAAAACAATGCATTTTTGAGTTTTTCTATAATCTAAACTCCAATTATTTTATATTATTTTCAACTGATAATTACATAAACCAGAATGAACCGTTCGTGGAACAGCTCGAATTCACCAGGTTTCGTATATTTCAACCAAACACCTACCAAAAACCCAGCTGACACAACAGAGTTCTTATCTTTTGGCGACAACAGTACCCCGTCCCCAAAATTGAATCACAGATTCTCACCTTCCAACTATGGTAGTCCTCAGTTTCACAGCAGCCCTAGGAAGTTCAATTTGCGGAACACCTATAGACATTCAGGAGGAAATCAAGGAAATAGGTCATTTAATAACAGAAATAGTTCTAATAACAGCTACAGCCCCAATAATAGCTTCAATAATTCGAATAACAGAAATTCCAGGGGTAATCACAAGTATAGAAATGTGGTAAGTAAGTTCAGTAAAAGTTATTAATACAAAAATTTCCTTGGAAAAAAGCTCAGAAAAAAGTGTGTAAAAATCTCATCAATATTTTGTCCTTACAAGGTGTTGGGATGAATATTATTTGATGGATAAAAATGTTATTTTCATGCTGAATGGAAGAACATAATTTTGTTGAAATATCAGACAATGATTATAGTTGATAGGTACCTATATTATGTGACTACTTTTTTAGAATTACAATAATTCAAAGAGTATTAGTGAGGATGGAAAATCTGATATCTCCCACTATTATGATTATACTTGCACATTGGATCCTTGGGCTGATTTACAAAAAGAACTTGATAAAAGAAGAGAGGAAGAAGAAGCAAAACAACTTAGTTTAGCTGAAGACAAACAACAAGATAATTCAGCATCATCAAGTTCAGAAGAGAGTGATTCAGAGGAGTCTGAAGAAAGTCCAGCTATTAGTAGTATGGCTGAAGATGAAACAACTTAGTATCTAGCAATAATATTAGAAATATCAGCAAATGAATTGGTCATTACTGTCTTTTCCATTATTTGATAAAACATTTTCTATTTCATAATGGAATAAGATTTAGCTGATATTCTCAAATTCTAATGAATATCAGAGAAAAGACATGTTTTAGCCACTCAAGCAGTCTTATCCATAGTTGGTAATTTAATCTCTGATCCCATTTGTTTCAGAAGAAGGTGATTCATCCACTAAAATAAATTCATCATCAACATTTTTAATGTACCTGATTTTTTAGTATCTGACATATTAATGAACTCAAAATGTTGAATGATTAATGTGTAATATAACTGATAATTGATCCATAATCTACAATGCCAACAAAAAATATTAACTGGAGACCTATCTATTCTAATGAAATTTGCTTCAATAAAAAAATTCAGAAGAATGAACAATGTCTCAGCATTTGAGATCTGATTGTGTCTTAATAATAATTATCAATTGATTCACATTTTCTATTTTTGAATCATTTATTTTTTTCTCAACAACTGAATAATTCCATATGATTAAAGATCCCATTGAAACTTGTTATACCTACAACTGTTGGTAATAAATGTTTTCATAGTTTTTGAGAAGTATTTTTCACTGGATAATTTGAATGCATGTTTTAGTACAAATATTGGATTTTCATAGCATCTGAATCAATTCAAATACCTATTCTGCACAGGTAATATTGAATTTTATATTTCTCTTTGAAAATAATCTGTAAGTACTCCAACCCATATCATTTATAAGATCATTTGACTCAACTGAATTACATTTAATGTGAATGAATGTCATAGTGGAAGGTCCACTATGATCACACTATGATGAATGTCAGTTATGACATATTATTTCCCAATCACAGAAATATACCTACCTACATAAAATTTCATCAAGTATATTACACTGTTACTGAATTTTATAATTTTTTCTTGAAATCTCCAAATATTATGCCATATGCATATTATGTAAGGCATACATTCATTGTTGGCTGAATAAACAATAAAATTAGAAATTCCTGAAACAGGTCGATTTTTGATTTCAATTTATTAATTTTTCTACATTTAATTAGTGTTCAATGGGTATTTGAATATCAGTAAAAGCTGGATTAGATAATTTTTGCCCACCCTGTGTCAATTTGAAGCAACATATTACACATTTATTTCGAAATCAGCTCAGCAAGGGCAATCCGGAAATTGGAAAAAGGAGGGGGGGAGGGTTATTTAAAAAAATGATAATGACGTCATTACACGTAGGTGGTTCACCATGTATATTAGATTATTATTTGAAAAAAATGGAAAATTGAAATAAAAAATCGTGTTTAGCCAATAAAAATGAAATCATGCCTTACTTTATGGACGCATTGTTACATATGAAATGAGTGGGAGCCCATCTAGAATTGGAATAGAAATCCACTCGAAATTCCATTGTAATCAAATGAAATGTTGGTTGTCTTTTTATTATTTTTATATTCTATGGAAATCAAGGTCGGTAGAACTGATCCTCTACAGATATTCATCTATTCTACCAACCATGATTGAAATCTGTTCTATCGCCATCTGTATTTGCACTTGGGAACCTACAGACCATTAGCAGAGAATTTACCCACTAGACATTCAAAATGTATGATTTCTGATATTAGCTTCCTACATTTGTACACTGTAGTAATATTCGTCATTCATAGAGGGAAATATGAGTATGAAAACAAACTAATTCTCAAGGCATGCGCCTGGCTTTCATAATAATTTCTGAATCCTTCACAACTTCAAACTTCTTCCTTCGGCAGTTTTGCGAGCTTTGTTGTAGTTGTAGCTCGCTGCACGTTTGTTTTTTTTTCGTAGGCTGAAAACCTGTTGCTCCCATGTGAATTTTCCGCAATTCGTGATGAAAAACTTAGTGTGTAGGTGTGCCAGATGTGAATTCTCGCCGTTTTCCGTGTAGTGACCGTATCCAACAGACTGTTAACGATGGGTTTAGCAGTTTCAAAAGAGGCTTCTTCGCCTACCGAAGCCGAAAGTGTTATTTCATCGAAATTACATGGGAGACAGGCCAGTATCAGGCAAAGTACAATCAAAGCCAAAGCAAAACAACCTATGCCAGACCCTCACGAACTGGAATTACGATTTACGAAAGTTTTGGTAAGTAGTTCTGCAGTAGAATTCTAAGATTAGTAGAAGCTTCACACCCACAAGACAATCAAATATGATACACGCTCCTTGGTCTTTGCGGCTTTCTTTCAGGAAATAAAAACTGTTTTGACGTCAAAAAACTGTGTAGGTATACCTACCTACCTACATGTGTGAAATCCCTTCTTGTAGCTCATTAACATTGATATTAATCGATTGACAATGTAGGTATTCAAGTATGATGTCTGATGATTCATATCCGAGATCATATCATTATTCATTATTTTTATTTATATTGCTCTCGATCGAGGTCTCGATATATTGCTTCATACTTCATAAGTTCATATTCATTGGGTTTCAGCTCCGGTTTCAGGTAGAACTAGGTATAACTCAAGGATTATATGACCGAAGGAGAAAACTGTCAAATGGTGTTTTGATTCCTATCCAGTTTGACCACTCAGTAGTCAGTGCCGTCAGTGGTTACAATACAAATGATACAATAAATTATACTCGTAATTATATTACTCATCATTGCTTGTCTATTAGGTCATCGAACATCAACTTTCAGACAAGTTGATGTTTGATGATTAGGTGTAAGTATGTACATCCCCTCGTACATACCATTCTTTATAGGTAGGTCATTCTTGAATTATTTTATTGAAAACCTAAAAACTGTACCAAGATTGGTACATGAACTGGTTCCTGGGGATTATGATAAAAGAGTCCAATTCTGCAATTGGATCACAGGTAAATGCAATGCTGACAGGCTGTTTTATCGGAATATTCTATGGACAGACGAAGCGAAATTCTCTAGGAATGGATGTACACTAAAATGCATCATTATGCATGCGAAAATCCACGTTGGATACAAGTTGTACATTCTCAGAATGTATATCCTGGGTATAATCGGAGATCGGCTATTAGGTCCATATTTTTTCGAAGAAAACCTAAATGGTCAAAGATACCTACCTACATTTCCTACTGAACGAATTAGAGGAATAGTTGGAAGAGTTGCCTGTCGATATGTATGCCAATATTCTATTCTTCCAACAAGATGGGTGTCCTGCACATAACTACAGACCCGTAATGGATTATCTTCGCCATCTGTTTGGAGAATATCTAATAACCACCAATTGTCCCGATGGTGATAGCAACTGGCCAGCTCGGTCGCCAGGCCTCACCCCACTTGATTTGTATTTGTGGGGCTACTTGAAACAACAGGTTTATGAGTCGCCAATTGTGAATATGGAAGAAATGAAAGAGAAAATCACAAATTTATGCGCACAAATTGATCGCATCGTGATACATAGGGTCACAATGAACGATATTAAAAGAGCTAGGAAATGTTTGCTGCAGAATTATTTTCTTTTCATTCGATTTCAATCCTGTTATATCAATAAAATCTAATCATGTACATTTTTTATTGAATCGTTTTATTTTTTTCCATATCTTCGTAGTCGTTTGAAAAAATTGAGGAAAAAATTCCATCAAACCCGGCATTGTTGAATTTGTAATAATGAACTCTACTTGAATATGGAATAATATACTGGGTGTCCCTATTCAAATAGGAAAGTTTAGGTGCACTTCGGTGTGACCCTGTATACCTACGATTCATTCAATAGCATATTTCGAGTGAGCATCATCAAAATTTCCTGGGTGACCAAATTTCAAGTCATTCATGCAAACGCGCGGTTGATTTTTTACAGGGGGGGACATTTCAGCTGGGACACGGTGTATATGTTTGTGGAGCACAGTATAATACCAACCTACCTACCTAATAGCGTCGTAACAGCGCAAAAAAATTAGTATGATTCACTATCTTTACTTCCAAAAAGGGCCCTAAATTCTCGTGTGCCCAAGGCCCCAGGACGAGCCCCAGGACCTCTGTAAGACGGTCTTGGGCTCGGTGGTGTGGGTTATTGTACTCCCTCCAAAAACCGCATTTTTTAAGTTTATGTTTCCAGTCTTCATATTACCCTCGATATTACCTATCTAACTCGAGATCTAACTACTAGTATCGTGATAGTAAAACAAAACCTAGGTGTTATGTGGATCGCACTGTATCTCGTAGATTCTGTATGGTATGCAATAAAAATAGGAACCTTATCAAGAAACATGTATAGCAATCATCATCGTTAATGTTTGGTAAGTTCATTTACCTTTGGTCTCTATGCTATCGACTATCGAGGTCTCTTTATAGTTTTATCCTCGGTTTAATACCAAGGGTTTAATCAAGTTTGGTTTAATTCCGAGTAATTCATTGGTAGGTAACTCGGGTAACTTGAATCAGTTTGGATTTCACTCGAGATTTCATGGGGTTTAAATTTTGTCAAGAGGAGTGTTGTTTTGGATAAGAAAAATAATTCCTGGAAAAATTCAAACCGAGTTCAAACATGATCACCTCGATCTTCCCAAACATTTTAGGTAAGAATTTTTCGTTTTATTTTGATTATCGAAAGGATACTTATCCAGAAGGTTTGTTAATCTGTGCCATCGATGGGTTACTCACGAGGATTAGAAAAAGAATGTACATTTATCAATTAATTTGCGATGGAAAAAAGCGAAAAATAGTCTGATGACACTGATGACAAAGCGACAAAATTTATCGAACCGTGACTTTAAATTCTAATTAAAACCGAAACCATGCATCCGTCATGGCGAATTTTTCAATAACCTTGACCACAACGTATCCTTTTTGTTATTTTATCTAGAGAGGTCATCTCGTCATCTCTATAAGAATTTAACGTGCAAAAAAAAACAAATGCATCGCATTTGCAATTGTAATTTTCTTAGGATGCATTGTTGTTTGTTATAAACAATATCCGCTCAGATCTATTATTCATTCATGCGATTAGGCGTCAGATTTGTAAAAAGAGTCGGTAAATTTTGAGACTGACAAAATATGTTCGTATAGGGTGATCCAAGGGGTGATCTTATATAGATTTCACACTTTCAACACTCGATATCTCGAAAACTAATCAATATATTGAAAACATCCAAAGAAAATCTTGTATCAGATTCTGTTTCGAATTTTGTTATCCAAACATTATTACCCATTCCTCCATTCCAGATTATTAGGTTTTCAACATCTTGATTAGTTTTCGTGATATCGGGTGATAAAATCGGTTGAAATCCTGAAATCTATCAATCACTGGAACATTTCAAAGTTGATTTTAAAACAAAATGACCATGCAATTTTCACATATATTTCGGATATTTTCATAAGTAATATCAAGATATACAGGGTGGTCCGTTTTTTAATACGGAAAATTTACCAGACCAAACATGTCACCATTGCAAATCAATCATTTACCGTATTAGAAGAGCCACAACAGGCCATAGACCGCAGTGGATATCCTGCTATTTGTCTTCAATGTTGCCGAACTAGTACATTCTTACTAGTTAGTTTTTGAGATATAAGGTGTCAAAAATACGCTTCAGAATAAATATAGTTTTTTAATCAAAAGTTAGAAACAAAATCCCATAGGCATATTGACAAACGGCAAAATTGAAATAAAATTATTACACTTTTTGATAAAAACACGGAATAACTCCAGTTTGTTATTTCTTTGACAGAACTTTCAGAGTGACAGCATGCACATATAAACAGTGAACAGTGAGCAACTGTGCATAGCCTACTTCTTTAATTGATATCAAGTAGTATTATTTAACTAAAAAATGTTATAAAATCTTACAAGCGAGCTTTTTTCATTGAAACTTGAAAAATAAATGAAAAATAATCATTTTCCGGAAATTGGGATGCTATGGTAATTTGTCAAAAAAACCCAATTTAACTGTATAAAAATCACTGGTGTGGAATTTTCAACAAAATTTTGGAATAATTCTCGGAATAATTCCAGTCCAAATTCCAGTCATTTTCACTGCTGAAATCCAACGCTGTTTACCCCTTAACTTTTCCCAGTGACTTTTCCCTACTAATAAAGCTAATGTGTCTACGCCAACGTTTCATTTTGCTTTCCACTTCTTGTATTTTCGTCTCGTTTTTCGTTTTAAATCTATATTTGTCACATACGGGCATCAACTAAATTAGAATTTACTATAGGGTGAAGTGAAATATGTTGGGCAAGGATTTATTTTTATTGACGATCTATTTCCACAGTAAGCTAGACTAAACTGGCCAAATATAAAATAAATAATAGGGGAAGATAGGGGATTTCGAGGGGGATTTGTTTTGATTTGTGACTAGTTAAATAATGCAGGATGGATCTATATTCTACTGGATATTCTATATAGATATCGATGAAGGAACAGCGTGTTTTTTCAACTGGTGGCTGCTTTCGTACGCTATCATAGTAATTAGTAAATGATTTTCTATTGTCATAAAAATATTCTGTTTTCTTCTCGGTTTTTTTCGCATCTTTCAAATCTCTCGCATCATCGGTGACTAAAAAAATACTAAAGAAGCTAGCAAAGGCACACAAAAATTTCAACATTTTCATCTCATAATTTCATGCTTACTTTGGGCTAATTTCTCGGCTAATTTATTACCCCGTTCTCAAATGTTTCGCTCTTCTCTTTCATAGAATAATCTGTGGCTTTCATTCGAACTTTTTGCTAATTATTCACCTCGTTATCCACCCTCTTTCTGCGTGTTTTGTTCTTGTGGATATGACCAATAATCATAACCAAGAAACAATAATTCTGAGTGAGGTACCACTTTGACAGCTTTCAAAAACTCCGATAGGTGGCGTATGCTTATTTTCCATCGCGAATACAGAAATCTGTATGTATTTGCTATCTTCGGGTGATATATTTAGATTTTATGGCTGATTTTAGGCTGATAGATGCCCTATTCTCTTTTAAAAAACGTGTAGTGGAGGTTATTCTCCTAATGGAATAGTAATTGACGGTAATTAAGGTGGTTTTATCGCTTCACCATAACAAATAGTCAAAAACACGGTCAAAAAATATGCTTTCGTTCCGTTTAGATCTCGCTTTTGATATAAATGCATTGTCAGCATTGCAAATTTTGACAACTACGATGACAACTC